TTTTTTTTGAGACGGAGTTTTGCTCTTGTTACCCAGGCTGGAGTGCAATGGCGCGATCTCGGCTCACCGCAACCTCCGCCTCCTGGGTTCAGGCAATTCTCCTGCCTCAGCCTCCTGAGTAGCTGGGATTACACGCACGCACCACCATGCCCAGCTAATTTTTGTATTTTAAGAAGAGACGGGGTTTCACCATGTTGACCAGGATAGTCTCGATCTCTTGACCTCGTGATCCACCCGCCTCTGCCTCCCAAAGTGCTGGGATTACATTTTTTAAGAGTTAGTGTTATCTTTTCCTGGTATCATCTAGTTGGATCCACATAAATTTCAGCAATATAGTAGCATCTATGAACATTGCCAAATCTTTTATGTTTTATAAATACATTGATGCCATTGTTACTGATTGGATTGTGAGGGAATTTGATATTGAAGACCTTAAGTGTCATTTGGAAAATTGTATTTGTTCCTGGTACTTTTTAAGAAATTCGATTTCAAAAGCATTGTTTAACTACAAGTTGACCTTTCTATTCTTGTTTTTTGTTTTATTTTTCTTCTATCCACAGACATTTTGCTGCTTCTGTAATTATAACATTAATACTTTTTCTGTGTTCTATTTACAGTGTATTTTTGCTTAAAACTATATGTGAAAGACATTAATGGAAGCAAGAAAGGTATCTTTGGTCCCGGAGTTTTAGAGCTCTGGAATGTAGCAGTTGGCATTAGACCTGATTTCTTGATTCACAGGTTATTCTTACTGATGCAGTGGGAAGTGTGGCACCCGTTGCATTGTACCTCTGGTAGTATTTATGAGAGTGCTTTGTAATTTTTATCTTGGCAGAAAGCTTTTTGGATACAAGGTTTATTTGACAATATGAAACAAAATGCTGAGTCATGAATAGGTGTATTAAAAATAGCAAGCCTGTGGCCGGGCACGGTGGCTCAAGCCTATAATCCCAGCACTTTGGGAGGCCGAGGCGGGTGGATCATGAAGGCAAGAGACCGAGACCATCCTGGTCAACAAGGTGAAACCCTGTCTCTACTAAAAATACAAAAAATTAGCTGGGCATGGTGGCACGTGCCTGTAATCCCAGCTACTCAGGAGGCTGAAGCAGGAGAATTGCCTGAACCCAGGAGGCGGAGGTTGCAGTGAGCCGAGATTGCGCCATTGCACTCCAGCCTGGGTAACAAGAGCGAAACTCCGTCTCAAAAAAAAAAAAAGCCTGTAAGCGTATTTTTTTTCATGGGAAAACCTGAAGAATATACTGCTAAACACAGGCCATCTCCAGTTATCGTCACCATAGCTGAGTTTCATGATGAATGTCTTTCTATAAGAAATTTTGCTGTGGAAAATGTTGGACATCTATATATCAAGATAGGTTGACTTTGAGACTGTTCAGTTTTTACCATCTTTAGTGTCATCTTTGTTTTTGTTTTTAGAATTCTGGAATTAGCAGGTAACTAGACTTCTTCCTCTGCAGATGAGGAAGTGTCTAAAGAGCTTCTGTGCATTGTAAAGATAACCTGAGCAAGTTGATTCTGTAACTGTTCTCAGGATCTTGATTCAATATTTAATTCTAGTCAGGAAATTTTCAGGAATGTAGTAGCACAAGGGTTGTTTTCTGAAGAAAGGGAGGTATGCTGCTTATTCAGCATTCAGCCCAACTACTAATGAATATTTGAAAATGACAGCTGTCTTTTCTGAAACCCAGCCTCTTCCTAGCTTTCCTGGTACCACATAGTAGATATTTCTTAGAAGGGCAATATATAAGTAAAAAGAATCCTTTAGAAAAACAAAAGTTGTTTGTGAGAGTCTTGTTTCTAGCTATTGTCCTATGTGAATATCAAGACCTGAAGTTGTTGTTGTATGTATGGCAGTATATTGTAGAGACCAGTGAACCAGCCAATGAGCTGTTAGTTTTGAGAATACACTATTTGTAGTTTGGAGCAAAAGTACTATTGTTTGATAACCATAAAATACAAACACTTTTTCAGCTCTGAGAATTGCTCATCAAAGTTCAGCGAATAGCAGCTACGTATGTTATGTTTAAAATCAGCCTTTTCATGTTCCGGTGGCTTGAGACTATCCTGTAGGAGTTTTCCCTAGAATACTGACCTGTTTTGCATTGGCTTTAGTTGCTCCCTTGAGTTTTTATGTTAGAGAATATTAGAAAGGCTTACTCCTTCAACTTTCTGATTAGATTGTGTTTTCCATAGTGAATGTTTTGTCTACCTCAGTAGAATATGGTAGATTTCATACACCAGACTGCCTAGTTGACATTTCCAGAGCTCTTAAACCACATCTGTATCTTCTACTTAACAACCTAGGTTAAATCATTGTCTACCAGGTTGATGTGTGAAAATCCTGTTTGGATAGTTCTCTTCCCAAGCCAGTTGACTTTTTTTTTTTTAATAGTGTTATTGGCTGTTGGAAACTTAACTGATGAGTTACTCTTCTAACAATAGTGTCTGTTTCATATCAGATCTGATTTTGACCTTTACACTTGTCTTCACATTCTAATTTTCCAGGTACTTCCAGGTATTTTCTAGCTAATATATCATTTCTGCCTATTTTTCTAAACTGTTGTGTCCTTCTGTGCTTTACCTTCAACCCCTAAGAATTCTCAGAATTTCTGACCATTTACCTTGATGCAGCAGGATTGACTTAGTATGGGGACAAGCTTTTGATAATCTGTTGACCACAAAAACCTGTACCCATTGCTTTTTATTGCAACTTCGTGCACTATTAAAACTTGCTTAGCAATTTTTTTCCCATGTAGACAAAAAAGATGAATTTTAGCTTCGTTTTCATATGAATGATTACTCAATTTGGAATGTATGGGGTCTGAAGTTATAGATTTAAAGAAGTTTATAATATACCAAATGAGAATGCAGTAAGCTACCCATGGTGGAACTCCATGGGTTGTCATGGAGTGCCAGATTTGAAAGAGACCTAGACCAGTCTCAGAGTGGTTAGACCGCTTGAGTGTCACTGCCTTGGCAACTATCCTTGGGTTTGGCACCCCGTGTGTGTGTGTGTGTGTGTGTGTGTGTGTGTTTGTGTGTGCGCGAGCGCGCGCGCCCTTTCCTCCATGGCCCTGGTTAGTTTTTTGCCTCACTGACCCTCCTCTCCTTTTCAGGATGAAGTATCAGAGAAACAACTACTACCTGTAGCTGCCAGTCAGATTACATAGGTTGAAGGCCTTGGATATGGTCTCTTGTGTTCTTTCTGGGTTACAAATTAGTGAGAAAGGAAGGATAACTTTGTCATTTGACTCTGAATAAATATTTGTTTCTTTAGCTTAAAAATTTGTTGAAGCTTCATATGTCTCTCTAAAGTTTAGCTAAGAAGTCTTGTATGCATATCAGAGTAGCTGGTAGCACCTGTTATTCCAGTTCTATCAAGAGAGAAATATATTACTCAAACATAATTTATTTTATATAAATAATATAAATAATAATATAATTTATTTTTACATTAACAATATAATAAAGCTGATTACATCTAAAAGGGTTCAGGGACTAGAGTATTTTGGTTAAATAAAAATGGGAAACGGTCGAAGGTTTAGAATAAATAGTAATACTATATTGATCCTTTGGCATTTGCTTTATTTCAAAAATTGTAATAAATGTTTGTCTTTAGTGAGGATCATAGGGAGGACAAGATGGAATCTGGTAACTTCCACAATCTTCTAATGAAGGAAATTAGAACATACATGTAGAGGAATAATGTGCTGTTTTTTTTTTAACGCTTTCTAATTGCTTGGATTTTAAATGCATACCCAAACTTCAAGAAATACTTCAATAGGAAGTGGTTATTTGCCTTGTAAAAAGATTCATTAGAGTTGTTTAATAAATTTTTAAGTAAATTTTTCATCTTAAAATCAGTTGACATTTTTGATTACCAATCTTTGATGCTTAAAACCATGTTATCTACTTCCAATTGAAAAACAAGTACAAATGCAATTTTTCAGAAATGACATTGTCACTATTACCCTTAGTATTTTATTTTCCAAAATGGGATCTATCTGCAGCTTTCTGGGAACCTAGCCACCACTTGTGCTACTTCTTGTTAGTGGGGCTTTCCAAACTATGTAATGTAATCGTAAGGAACAAATGTTAATATTCATTGTGATTCTGCCATTTATGAAACTATTCAAAAGTGTGTTGTCTTGGGTATTGAAAAACAAAATGTCAAGTCCCTAGTATATTTTGTGGTTAAATAGTCAAGTAAAATGACATCTGATGTTTTATATATTTTCAGTATTAAAAATTACATGGTATGTTGGATTTAGGATTAACTTGTAAACTACAAAATGATATTCTTTAAATAATTCATGGAGAATATGGAAGGAAGAACATTTACAAGGTTTGGGGAAACTTTCCCCTAAGACTCCTTATGCTCCTAGAATAGATTTTTAGATCAAAATTGGATTCCTTAAAGAAATTGATCAGCTCAGTCAACTTTATTATATGTTCTTAAAGACAAATTGAAAAGAATTGCAGGTATCAAGAGCTGCTTTAAATTAAATAACGAAAAAATTTAACTTTCAAGCCAGAAATATTTTGTGTGTTCTTATGAAAATGTGTATGCTTGCTTTCATTTGCTTAATGCTGAGATCTGTATTTGACTTGCTTAACATTGCATTAAGGAATAAACTTTATATGATTGAGTAGAGTGCTGAATTTAGAGAAGTATTTCTGTTGTTGCTTTCTGTTTGCTTCTCCATCAGAACTTTTATGTAGTACATCAGACTTTAATTTAACTTGGCTTTCAGTTCTTGAAGGTGGATAGATAGTTATCATTTCATGCCTGCTCTGAAACGTTTAGTAGACACAGATAACATGTCAGTGGTACGCTGACTGTCTTTCAGGCAAGTGTTACTTCATGCTCCCTGAGCCTTCTAAAAGGACCTAGTCTGGCCAAGGTTCTGTGTGTTATATTCCTCTGGTCTGGCCCAAGTTTTTGTATTGTATTCTTCTAATCTAAGTCTGTTTACTTTTAGGATTGTGCAGACTGGTGCTTAAAATGGAAGTCGATATTAATGGAGAGTCTAGAAGTACCCTGACTACCCTGCCCTTCCCTGGGGTCGAGGCCAACTCCCCAGGAAAGTCAGAGGCAGAGAAGCCCCGCTGCTCCAGCACACCCTGCTCCCCAATGCGGAGGACTGTGTCAGGCTACCAGATCCTGCACATGGACTCTAACTATTTGGTTGGCTTCACAACTGGCGAGGAACTCCTGAAGTTAGCTCAGAAGTGCACAGGAGGTGAAGAGAGCAAGGCAGAAGCCATGCCATCCTTACGCTCCAAACAGCTAGATGCAGGACTTGCCCGTTCCTCTCGTTTGTATAAAACCAGAAGTAGGTACTACCAGCCATATGAGATTCCAGCTGTCAATGGCAGGAGGCGAAGGAGGATGCCCAGCTCAGGAGACAAGTGCACTAAATCTTTACCTTATGAACCTTATAAGGCCCTGCATGGGCCTCTGCCTCTTTGTCTTCTTAAAGGTAAGAGGGCTCACTCCAAATCTCTGGACTACCTCAATCTAGATAAAATGAACATCAAGGAGCCAGCTGACACAGAAGTGCTACAGTACCAGCTTCAACACCTAACCCTCCGAGGGGACCGTGTGTTTGCTAGGAATAATACATGAATGACTTGTAGAGAGTTTAAACCAGTTTAGTTCAGCCTATGCTTGGCTAGAAAAAAACCCACTGCTGTACTCTGTACATGACTCTTCACACTATAGATGGTTATATCAGCTAAGTGTTCCTGGAACATAAAAATTGTTTGGATCAAATTTTGAATACAGGAATGAAATCACTTGGGGGGGGATATCATTCTAGAGCACGCAACTGCAAAGAAAACAGAACGTTGACTGTTAGTTTGTATAGCTTTTTAGCTAGGAAAAAAAGGCTCTGGTACAGTAATTTCATCTTTATGATTCTGACACTCAAATTGGGAATGTTATCTGCTTGGTTGTTGCTGACTTGATATGATTCATTAGAAATTTATATATTAAGTACTCAAGTACTTCTTGAATCTCTGTATTTTACTATAAAATGTATGTAATGATTTGTTTTATGAAATTTAGAACTTGAACATTGCTGAATTGGACCACTTTTATTTTTAAATATTGAGTTTAAATATTTTATAACTGGTTTTGCACTGAAAAAAATTAACATTTCAGATTGACAAGAGAATAATCTTTCTTCACTTGCCTCAATAATATTATTGAGCAATGAATTTTTTATTTCCGCATGGAAAGTTATTGATCTCTATGGCTGTAAAATATTTCTTTATAGCGTTATTAAAGTGTGTCTTAATAAAATTAAATTTGGGATACAAAGTATTTATTTTACAATAGGTGGGGGGAAGCTTTTCCAGAAAGTTTCCAATATGATGTTTTCATAAGTTGAAAAAAACTCTCCTTAGTGCTTATTTTCTACCTTAAATTCACCTGGAACTTTAAAATGGAAAGGATTCTTTTAATTGTGGATTATAGGCATAATACTGTTTGCATCTGAATTTTCTGTAAGTGAATAAAACTTTAATAGAGGAACTCATTTTTACTATCGAATGATTAAACTAAGTATGAAGTGATACCATTCGGCATGTCATCAGGTCATTCCAGTTTTAGCTCTGTGCAACACAAGCACTCATTGAAATTCCAGTTTCTAGGATTAGTGTAGGAGCCTAACGTGCTTCTACAGTTTTAATGGGTTAATCCTGGATTACTGAACAATTTATGTCAATTGCACTGGTTTAATGTTGCTAAAGAAATAATGCCCTGGCTTTAGTAACAAATACAGCTCAACTATTCTTGAATATATTTTGAAAAAAAATGTGTATGTAACTTATCTTTTGTAAACGTTTCTATTTCTTTTTTCCCCCTTTTTTGACTCTTAAAGGTGCAATTTATTACTGAATTGGCATTTCTGGCAGCATAGAACTGCTTACTTTTGATTTTGAGGGCTGTGAGTTTCTTAGGTGTTAGTAATCTTACTTATAAAATAAGAACACCTTTTAATTAATAAGTGGGTAATTCCTGGTGCAATTGTGATTTTTCTTTAGCCAGAATGAATGGCAAACTATTTAGAGCAAAGTAAGTATTAGAAAACCCTAGGAACTCTTAATCAATGTTTATTACACTTTTAGTAAGGCAAACTATGTGAAAGAGCCTTGGGGAGGTTGGCCTTTATCTTACTGAGTTGATCAGATTTCTCGTTGGTCTGGAAATTTTTGGCTGTTGTATATTTTAACGTAAATTGCACCTTTGTAACATATTGTATTGACGAATGATCACTAAGATTAGCTATATCTATACAGTCATTAGTTTGACAAGAAATAGAATCCTGTCAGATGCCAAAGAGTGGGATTTTTACGTTTAATGATTAAACACCATTATTTATTGACAATTTACCCTGTGGAACTGTATTATTTCTAACTATGAAATAAAGGGGTGATGTAAACACACATTGTTGTGTGGTGCTTTAAAGCAGGTTCACCATCAACAGGCTACTTACTGTTCAAGAATTCCACTGAAGCACTTGTTTTAAGACCCTGTTTTTGTTAAACAAAACAGTGACAACAACAGTAACAAAACCATTTACTTTTGATGCTAATTGGCATTTTAAGATAAAAGATGTATTCATGGCAATGATATGTGTTCAATCTATTAGGAAACACAACTGCTTGCCTATGAGGTCTGTTCTGCCCATGTGCCTAAGTTTCTTAATAATAGCTAAATAAAAATTTGTAGCTTTTTTGTTTTGTTTTGTTTTTTTACTGAAAAGACAGGTGAAGCTCTGTGGCAAAAATAAAGGGGTTAATAGTATGAGATATGTCATACTTACTCTTTTCTGATTAGTTAACATATAATTTTAAATTTCGTTTCCCAGAAAGAAAGTTTCAACTCTAGGTCAGTAATTTTCACAGTGTGTTTGCAGAACCCCTTTATGAGTTCAGTCTTACTTTCTCTGTACCCCACAGAATTGTGTCCTATGGTAGGGAAGAACCAATTGTTAAAAAAAGGATAGGCTAGATCTCTTTTCGTTGAAAAACAATCCCTTTGGACATGGTTTCTATTTTTTAACTTTTTCATTTTTTTATTCAGTTTAATATTTAATAAACTTGTTAGAAGCCCAGATAAATAAATTTGTTAGAAGCCCAGATGATGTGTAAGAGCTGCAGTAAAATTTCATTCCTTGCCTCAATCTGAGGTGAGCTGCTTTTGCTCTTCTTCCTTTTGGCTGCATTTTATACCTCTGGATGCAGGGTCCCCGTAGTCAGTAGTCATGGAGAAGCGGCTCAATGGGGATGGATTTAACATGTAAAAACCAGTTCAGGACCCCCAGATCTTCTGCACTCCAGCCCAGCTGGGCTACTGTTCCAGGGCCATCAAATCCTGTCCATGCCTTGTAATAACCATCCGTGGTCACTGTGTCTTTTTCCTTCCCTGGGACACTTTATTTAAATGATTTCAGTATTTGAGGTCTGAGAAGCCTTTTTGAAGATTCTGAGTTAACTTTTAGAAGCAAATTAGTCTTTCACTAAAGAAGATGTTTCTTCAAATCTTAAGAAAAGAAACTTTTTAAACTTATTTTTTCATTCTAGCATATTTTTGTCTCAGATTTTCATTCTATTATAATCATTGGACTTTTAAAAATATACTTTTAAGTGACCCTGGTCTAAGTGGTTCTCATTCAGAGAACAGAGGAGGAAAGACTGTCACAGTTTATAAATGGCATAAATGCTCCAGAGGAGTTAGGGTTGAAAGAGAGCAAGAATGTACATTACTGTAATGCAGAGAGAACAGCAAGTATTAAGTAAAATTGCCTTTTTAAACAGTGTAATTTGATTAGAGAAATGGAAATTGATGAGTTTGCCTTGGAACTATAATAAATGTGATTGTAAAGCTAGTAGTGGAGGCTGTCAGCACTTAATGATGCACTTCACTTTTACCTCTTTAGATGAGAATTATGAAATGGACTTCTTTGATATTTTATATTGGAAAAAGTTAAGGATTTTTCTGGCTGAGAAGACTAGAAGAAACAAATGAAGAATGAGCTTGATTTGTTATTTGTTTGCTGAGCCCCAAGGACACTTCTTTCTTTACTCTAACCAGGGGAGATGTTGAATTTGTATTATGACATGACTTTGTGCAAGGTTTTGTTTTTCTTCTTATTTATTTGTTGTTTTTTTTAGACAGAGTCTTGCTCTGTAGCCTAGGCTGGAATGCAGTGGCATAATTTCGGCTCACTGCAGCCACCACCTCCTGTGTTCAAGCGATTCTCCTGAGTCAGCCTCCCTAATAGCTGGGATTACAGGCATCAGCTACCACACTTGGCTAATTTTTGCATTTTTAGTAGGGATGGGGTTTTGCCATGCTGGCCAGGCTGGTCTGGAACTGCTGACCTCAGGTGATTTGCCTGCATCAGATTCCTAAAGTGCTGGGATTACAGGCATGAGCCACTGTGCCTGGCTGTGAAAGGTTTTATTAAGTGGTTTCAGAGAGAAAGTCTGAAACTAAATTTGAATGTTGTCACCCCGATTGTGGGGTTGTGTTTGATGTACAGATGTTTGGGAGAGCACAGAATGAGAAAAGGGAACTCAGCATTTATTAGATTGGAAGAGAGTAGTTGCAGTTGGTGCAAGCCTAAAGTGATCCTGGCTGGGGTCACTTCTGGAAAGAAGAGCTTTGATGCTTTTGCTTTTGTGGAAAGACACCGACACTCTCAATGTTCCTTCTGAATGTTCTGAAGAAATGATTCTTACAGTGATTTGGTGGAAAGAGGAAGGAATGCTGGGTTCTTGATATTGACCTTTAGCCTCATTGGCCAGGAAAACTATTCTTCACCAAACTTTTATGTAGAAGCATTACACATGAAATATATATTTGGAAGACTGAATCATCTTTTGTCCCTGGCCTACAGCCTCAGTTAGGGAAAGGAATTTACACAGTAAGAAGTTTTTGAACTCAAAGAAATTCAGATTTTGGCTAAAGGGTTGGAGCTGGAATGGCAAATACTTAGCATGCCAACCACTGTGCTCCTCATCTATGCATGTGGCAGACATCACTAATCTATCAGCACATTTGCCCTAGAGTCCAGATGTGGATGCATTATCTTTCTTAACTGAGCACTTTAGGCAGCTGCTACTGAACTGATCAGTTCACTTACATTGCTGATCTGTATAAAAGTTTTACCTATCACATCCCCACACCCCTTGCAGTGTGCTACGACGTGAATTTAAAAAATAGCCAAACTTTTGGAGTAGACCAATCTGTAGACCATTCTGGATCCTGTCCTCTAACCAGAGAACAGATGAGAATGGTCCCACACTGTGACCCACAGGTGTCTACTGAGCATATGCTGGAGCTCTGGGGACAGAAAGGCTTACGACAGTTTTTACCTTCAAGGACATGCTTATTATTGGGAAAACAGAAAGCTAGCCTAAGAGGCATGCCAAGCACGTATTTTTTGACTAAGCAACAACTTAAGAGAGGGGAGCTTAAATCCCATGGAGCTGAAGTCTAAGAAAGAACAGTCTTGTTTATTTTTCTCTCTGCCTGCCTGGCTGATTGGATATGTTTTCACTTGCATTGCTGATCTGTATAAAAGTTGAAATGTAAAGATGTATTTCTTAAAAGTACCTTCATTAGAAAGCCAGGGCAGATGAAAAATATGGGAAAAGCAATATCTTAACAAAATAATTGAATCTGAGAAGCATCAGGGCATGCCAATGATGTTCAGTTGTTATCTCCCTGTCTCTATGGTTGGCTGCTGAGATGAACTGAATAGAACTAGAAGAGAAGAGTTAAGGTGGAGGGATACTGAAAGAACTGAAGCCTTGGAGCGAGTGGTCAAGGGAGGTGAGAGCTGCAGAGTGAATAATTAAATGTATGCTTCAGTGATACTTTTTCCCCTTGCATTGCCTTTCCCTTTTTTCTGGGGCAGGGTAGGGTGAGAGTAACAGAGAGGTTTACTTAATTATTTGGGATCAGAAACACATTTAAAAATGCCTATTTTTTATATAATTTGTATAGGAAAATTATATGGAAAGTATTTTGCTCAAAAAGTTTCATAATGTAGATTATCTTTTGAAATGATCAAATAGAAGAACCCTGAATTAGTTGGTAGATTTATGTATTTTATTTTCAATTGGGTATTTTAAAAAATACAATTTAGGCATTGTTTTTCTTTTCTTAATTTTTACATGTATTTTTAGTGTCATACTCTTCTAAGATTTTAATGCAGTTATATGGAAACATTTTTAAGGATCAGGATATTTATAGGATTGAAATATGTTTAGGGGTAGGCAATATAAGGTAATCTAAATAGCTCAAAAAGATAATCATTAAACAAGATGAATTGACTTTTTTATTAGGAGAAAATGACTTCTTATATTGCATTTGGTATAACATTGCTTGGTCAACTTCTTTCCGCCCCCTAGAAATTTAGTTCTTAAAATATTTTCTGTGACAAGCTCTCAGAGTGATAGACATGGGGATTGTATTTTTCTTCTTCAGATTTCCTTTAAATGTTTTCTTGATTTTTTTAAAGGACACTTTTGACCAGGATAGATACCAGAGAATAAACATTTAAAGCATGACTTTCCCCACTGGACCAGGTATAGAGATGGTAGGAAATCCTTCAAATTGTAATGGTTCCTAATTTGTGAATACAAAAGATGTAAGAGATACCTCATTTGTGTTATGCTAGATACACAATCCAATTAGTAATGAGATAAGGTTCCTTTATTGACAACTAGATGAAGTGATATTAGAAGGTTATAAATGGAATGTTCAGAGGGCTATGATGGATTTTATATAAAAACGTATAAAAACAAATCCTTGTCTGTAAGAACCACTAAGACTAAACTACAGCACTTTAGCTGTGAGGATTGATGCTCCTTAAAATCCATGAATTCAACCTTTATTTGCTCATCCACCAAATATTTATTGTGATATATCATTATGTGCCTGCCTCAGGGATAAGTCACGGGAATAGTGTGGGAGTAAGACCCAAAACCCATAGTCAAGAGCAAATAGTTACATTTTTAAATAAGTGCTTCTCAATAAACAGATTTACAACTTTATGACTTTAGAAGAGAGGAGAAAGTACCTAATTCCACCTCATGTGTGGGATAGGATTCACCAGGGAATGATACTTGAGCCTGGAGAGTGAAGAATGAAGAAGTGGGTAGGAAGGGTGGGGACCCCAGGCAGAAAAGTGCCTATATTAGAATATTCAACTGGAGAATGCTTCAGGGTTCATCCATTCTACTTTGCCTGCCTCAAACCAACCTGGACAGAAGTCTGTCTGTCACTTACATTTCTAAAAAATTTCCAGAAAAGGAAATATGGCTTGAGCCACATTATCTGAAGAACTTACTAGTGGTAAAATTTCCAATCATGTTATTCGAACTGCCAAATAAAATTTTGCAATCAGCATTTATTCTAATCCAACAACCTT